CAGCACTCTACCCAGGGGGACAGCTTGAGGCTCTGTCTCAAAAAAAAAAAAAAAAAAAAAAGAGTTTCTTACCATAACTCCATGGTATTAATACCACCATTTTATTTTATTTTATTATTATTATTTTGGTAACAGAGTTTCATTTTGTTGCCCTTGGTAGAGTACCATGGTGTCATAGCTCACAGCAACCTCAAATTCTTGGGCTAAAGCAATTCTCTAGCCTTAGCCTCCTCAGTAGCTGGGACTACAGGCACCTGCCGCAACACCCGGCTATTTTTTTTTGAGATGTGGTCTTGCTCTAGCTCAAGCTGGTCTTGAACCCACGAGCTCAAGCAAAGCACCTGCCTCAGCCTCCAACCACCATTTTACAGATAAGACAAATGAGGCACAGGGTAAGTAGTACCCATTTTAACCCACCTGATGGGACCCCAGAGTGTGGGACTCAAACCCAGTCTTCCCTGCCCCCTGCATCATAATCTTCAGAATTCCCATATATTAAAATCTTTTTTTTTTTTTTTTTTACAGTTTTTGGTCAGGGCTGGGTTTGAACCTGCCACGTCCGGTGTATAGGGCCAGCGCCCTACTCCTTTGAGCCACAGGCGCTGTCCATGTATTAAAATCTTTTTTTTTTTTTTTTTTTTTTTGAGACAGTCTCATTTTGTTGCTCAGTGTCGATTCAAACATCTGGGCTCAAATGAGCCTCCTGCCTCAGACTCAGTAGCTGGGATTATAGGTGCACCACAGTGCCCAACCTGGATTGTAAGATGCAGCAAACCCATGCTTAGCCAATGGAGAACCTGAGGATACAGAGAGAAAGCACCTTGCCAAATGACAGAAAATAAGCCAGTGGAACGTAGGCTTCACATCCCTCCACTGCCACCTTTTGTGGTTGTCCCTAATAACCAAGAGGTATGCTCTTAGCCTTTTGGGTTTATACCTGAAAAATAGAAACAGAATTTTTGGTTTTTTTGGCAGTTTTTGGCCAGGGCTGCGTTTGAACCAGGCACCTCTGGCATATGGGGCTGGCACCCTACTCCTTTGAGCCACAGGTGCTGCCCCAGAGACAGAATTTTTTTAGTCAACTCTGCATGAGGGTGTAGAGATCCAACTGAAAGGGCTGGGGCCACCCAATTTACAGTGGCCAAAATGTCCATAGCCCAGGTCTAACCAAAGTTGGCATATGCAGCCTTGAGAGGTAGCAGTTTCTTTATGACAAGGAGTGAAAAAATAGCCAATACTTTTGTACGTAGTACTTACTAATGACTAAGTAGTATTACTAATAAACATTTTATTTTAATTATATGAAGTGATATACATTAAGTATATTGTTTTTATATATTAAATTATTTTATTATTATATTAACTATATTAAACTGAAGAGTTTCTTACCGGCGTGGTGCCTGTGGCTTAAGTGGCTAAGGCACCAGCCACATACACTTAAGGTGGTGAGTTCGAATCCAGCCTGGGCCCGCCAAACAACAATGATGGCTGCAACCAAAAAATAACCAGGTGCTGTGGTCCCAGCTACTTGGGAGGCGGAGGCAGGAACTCGCTTGAGCCCAGGAGTTGGAGGTTGCTGTGAGCTGTGATGCCTCAGCACTCTACCCAGGGGGATAGCTTGAGGCTCTGTCTCAAAACAAAAGTTAGAGTAAACCAGGCAAAGTGGATCATGCCTATAATCCTAGCACTCTAGGAGGCTGAGGTGGAGGATTGCTTGAGCTCAGGAGTTTGAGACCATCCTGAGCAAGAGATAGACCCTTGTCTCTACTAAAAATAGAGAAAGGGGGGTGGCGCCTGTGGCTCAGTGGGTAGGGTGCCCGCCCTGTGTACTGAGGGTGGCAGGTTTGAACCTGGCCCCAGCCAAACTACAACAAAAAAATAAATGGGCATTGTGGCAGGCACCTGTAGTCCCAGCTACTTGGGGGGC